AAATTTTTAGCAGATTCTAATGACTTCAAGAATTGTCTATAGGCAAAGTTTTAGATTAAAATTTGTTTATCCAGTTTTTTTTAATAAATACCATAACCAAGGTAAAAACTCAATATAACGGCTATAATTTCAAAAAGGCAATGCATAGAGAAGAATCATTGTAAGTTTCTTCTAGTCTCAACAGACTCTACGTAATGACTGGGATCTGATAGCAAATGTTAAATTTCATCTCTGATAATTTTCTTGTAAATAAAATACATTTTTGCTGCACCAAATTGAATGAATATTATTAATTATATAAATCTGAATAATTCATCGAATGTCTTTTTGTTTTTCCTTTTTGTGTTTTAGACTTGCTGAATTTTTTGGTGAAGATGTTATTAAAGATAAAGGTCTTTGTTGTCGTTTTGTTATAGCTAATGTACCACGTGATACACCTGTTACTGAACGTGCTATTCCATTAGCTATATTTCAATCTGAACAATCTATACGTAATCATTATTTACGTAAATGGTTACATTTATCAACTGTTGATAATCTTGATATACGTGAAATTCTTGATTGGAATTATTATATTGATCGTTTTAATAGTTGTATACAAAAAATAATAACTATTCCAGCTGCATTACAAAATATTCGTAATCCAGTACCACGTGTTTAAAAAAACTACAACATTAAAACGTAAACGTAATGAATTACATGATAAAACAATAACACATCAATGGAGAATTGTTCTTGGTCCACCACCAATATTTGGTCAAACAATAAATCAACATATTAAATGGCTTAATTATCAAAAACATAAATGGAATATACAATATGAACAACGACTAAATCAATCATCAATAATATCTGATAAAATTCAATTGAAAATAAAACAAAAAAATTTAAATGATGGTAAAATTGATACATATATTCGTCGTACAGCTGAACATTTACATACACATCCATGACAAATAATATCATATGAATTAACTGATCAAATAGGTATATTTAAAGCTTGGTGTTTAGTTGAACATGAATTAATACAAATTAAAATAAAAGTTCCAAGAATATTTTATGTTAATTATCGTACATCAATTGAAAATAATAATATCCAAACACAACATTCAATTGTTTATGAACATACAATTAATAATTGTTCAAAACGTGTTAATCGTTTATTACCACGTTGTTCACAAATATATTATTTATATGAATATCGTTTAGATGAAAATCATTTTTATAATTATTATACAGATATAATGACTGATTTAAGTAATCTAAATATTGAAGGTGTTTATGAAATGAATGTACCATTAGATTTTCGTT